CAAAAGGTCAAGGTTGTCTCTCCTGTCTGCCGCAAACACAATGCATGATGGTAGAACTAGGTTAGGGACTATCGGTTGTACGCTACTTTTCACAATGCATTGCGGTTAACAATGAGTCCACTATATAGGTGCTAAAAAAATCCATACATTTGGACAGCACTATAAAATGACGAGCTCACTCGTGGTGCTTTGTTTACAGGTGGGGTCAAGTCTACACTACTGTGTTCATACACACAATAGAAATCTGATTAAAGCCACTAAGCCTCTGCTACAGCACCAGTGGGAAACAGATTTGGATTTTGCACTTTTACACTGTATTTTCTTTTAAACACTTGGCCGGCAATCTGTTATGGGGAACAATGGAGGAGACTGATGAGGGAGGGGGGCGGACATATTGACTTTTTCTCTCCCCTCTTTCGTCTTAATGCATCTCATTTCCCCCCCCATCCTCTTTTGTTGAAAACCCTTCCTTCCCCATCAACCTTCATCAATCTCTCTATCCTTGCTGGGTGAAAAATTGCACCCATTACCCTTGTCATGTGGTATACAGAAATAGCAATCTTTCCACTGACAAATGTCAGGTAAAACAACTTAGGGTGACTCACAAGACTGCAGGACGAGGGCACCGCAGCATAAATCACTCCCAAATATTACTTTGGTACAGTAAACACCTTAAAAGTTGATGAAATTGATGCACATCCAAAAATGTTATAGGTTGCACAGAATGAGCCTCCGCACATGGATGGATGGTTTTATATCTTCCACATACTCTGAAATATTGATCTCACAAACTGCTAAAGGAGATAAAAATTATGTTTTGTATTTGGCCAGTTACATGAGGGAATACCTACAGTTACAGCAGTGCTCTCTTGTAGACTTGAACCTCCTTAAAGGTCAGGTTGGTAAGATGTTTGTCAAACGCTTTTTGTCTTATTGGTTAAAATCCTCTTCACATCCCGATAGCCATCAATAAAAAAATAAGAATAAAAAAAGACTGAAATTTTGACCTGGTGATGACGCTAGAGGAAAATTCAGAGGAAAATTCAGACGATCACCTGAACTCTTAATAGTCATCCTGCAGGGATCAATAATATTCAAACCAAAATTCATGCTAGTTTTTCTGATTTCAAAGTCATCAAGATACATCATCCTGAAAACTCAGATGTCTAAACAACATTTTTTAGGGTACATGTTGAAGTAGTGAGCTAGAGTGAAAACATTGACCCTGCTGGTGGCATCTGACTGTATCTCAAGACAGACAACATGACAAAAGTGAAACCAAATGGATCACCCCCTGGTGGCTGCCAGAGGTATAGGTTAAAAACTCTGCGTCCTCCATGCAAAGTAATGGGACAATGATTAGACTAAAAAGTCAAACTACATGAAAAACTAAATTTCCTTAAAGATGATTTCTGTCATTTCAGGTATGTAATCACACTGATGTGCGTCCAGTGTTCATTTAGCCATAATTTTAGTTTTAATTCGTTATTTGATGCTTAAAAAAACAGGGTGACGCATCATGATTGACAGCTGAGACAGTCACGTGATTGCTTGAGAACGTGTATCAACGGGTTCTCAATACCGTGGTTCCACATCACTAGCATTAGCATATTGCACAGACTATGGCTCTTAATTAAGTCAATTATGTAATTATATTTGATGATGGTACCTGTATCCACAATATTTCAGCTTCATTTTTGTACAATGTAGGAAAATACATTGTTGCCTGTAGACTTATATACAGTCTAAGGGCAACTTGTATAATAGTTGTCATGATAATTCATGACAGGGCTAAATGTAGAAGATCATCAAATTCAATGGTATTTCAGATATTTCAGTCTGGACCAGAGTAAAAGTTGTGGCCCATCAGACTACGGTTGCCATCCCTAGAGCCATGACATCAGCATGACTAAACAATGAAACCACTTTGCCTCGTCCACATAAGCATGATAAATGGTGAGAATGCAACCAGTACGTTAAGTAAGGAATAGTAATGACCTGTGCCATTTTGCCCAGCGTAGCATTTTGGTGTTAATTACATTAGGTTGAAACTGTTGTTAAGGAACCTGAAAGGTCTGCAGGTGCTGCATCACAGACCAATCAATTGTCATTACCAGAGACAAAGGTCTCAACCCAAGGGACATGTTGGACACCGCTATTACTTCTCTCCTCTTTACAGTGAACGAGATCGGCACCAACATTTATCGGTTGCTGGGGGATGATTTTAAAGTATCAGATTGATGGCTATCCATAAAAACAGTCATTTTAGAAATAATAATATAACATGAAACTATCCAACACAATGGCTGCAGTGTGGGTGTGAGGTTTAAATATGAAACCATAATTTGAGCTGGCCGCTCTACTGCTGCACCTCCAGGAGAAAATGTTTGGAAAATATCTGTGAATATCTGTTGTGTCAGTAAAAAATGGGACTTTCAGTACCTGCAGTTTTGTTGCTGTCTAACAAAACACTTTAGAGAACCCAAAGAGCCTCAGTGGAAACTTAGTGTCCTCAGCTGACATGATTATAAGGATTAGAACTGTCTCTCCCTCTCTCCCCCCTTCTCCCTCTCGCATCTGACCCTCTGGTTTAGCCAATGGGCTGTGGCAGAGCAGGGGGGAGAGATTGGCAACAGGTTTCCGTGCACTGGCACTGTTGTACTGCACTGATCTACAGCTAACAATCAGCTCTTTCTGTAAATCTGCACAGAGTCACTCACATGGAGACATTTGTCAGACTTTAGTTGAGTTTTTGTTTTCATTTGGTGGATTACATTTCCCTGGAAGAACAATAAAAGATGATTAGGACCATGATCCAACAAGCGAAGAAACACCCAGGGGTAGGTTGCATAATATCATGTATCTGTTAATTCTGTGATTATAGTTATGTAGGCCTAACAAACTGATGGTATAGTAATAAATATAATACCCTACATTTAAGTCAACAACATATTATGATTGTTAAAATGTTTTCTGGGACTTTTGACATTAGTTTTTCACCATTTCCTTTTTTCATTAGTTTTAAATTAACTGAGCAAGAACTTACTGGCCTACCAATAAAAACAAATACTGACAATGAAATAATATTAACACCTGAGCCCATTCCAATTACTGAAAGTCATCTTTGAGCTTCTTTTAGATTCTTTTGAAACAATTATAATTTCAATTCTGATCACCGACTTGATTGACATAAACTGTGTTGACAGCACATAATTATTTTGGCGTGTTAATTTGCTAAAATACTTTGTTTATTATGAAAGACGAAGCTGTCTGTGCTTGTTTCTTTTTTTCCCTCCCTGCTGCCTCTGTGCCTTTCCGAGGGTGACCTAAATTTGAGGATTGACAGGGTTGGCTTGGCAGTGCACCAGAAAAGTAATAAGGGCAGCAACAGCATCAAACCAAGTATAAAACACTTTCTAAAGCAGTCAGGCTGATGGTGAAAAGGTGAAATCTTCATTTTTGTGTAGGATATGAAGATATCAGCACTGGGGAATGGACAGCTCCCTACACGCAGGCCTGTGTGTGTGTGTGTGTGTGTGTGTCTCTGTGTGTGTGTGTGTGTGTGTGTGTGTCTCTGTGTGTGTGTGTGTGTGTGTGTGTGTGTCTGTGTGTGTGTGTGTGTGTCTCTGTGTGTGTGTGTGTGTGTGTGTGTGTGTGTGTGTGTTTGAATGATCAAAGCTGACCTGCTTCTGTGTGCTAGTGTGTGTGTGTGTGTGGCAGGTTGTGTTTGCCTCGATGATCAAATCTGATCATCTGCAGTCAGTCCACATAATCTGTGCACTTGTGCATGTTTTCACGTTCATGTGAATGTGAAAGAGAAAGAAAACTTGTATTTTGTTTTCCAGGTTTACTTGGTGAAGTTTATAGTAAACCTCCTCTGAGAAGAATTCAGCAAACATAAACCCCATGCTGGGTGAGCTCAGGGCACGATACATGACTGAGCATCTCTGTGTCCTAGAAAGCAGCTGATGGTTTGTATTAACTTGATCTGGCTAGTTCTGTTAATGTAACAAGAATGACACTTTCATTTATGTGACACTGAATTTATCAGTAAAATAGTCACTATCATCATTTAGGTGTTCATCAATACACGTATAAGATCCATTTGTACTGAATGCAGCTTTAATTACATGTTTTTATGGTTAAGGAAGGTTCTGGTTTAATGCAGAAAAAGTTCACAGAGACTAAACACACAAAAAAGAAATCACAATCTGTCCCTGTTACTTTAACCAAAATGCTTTTGTAACCTTACCAGACAGGACTGTGGATGTCAACACTGGTATGTGGTGTTAGATGATTAGATGGATATCTAAACAAACAGAAAATGAATTTAGTCAAGAAAATTAATCGGCAACTACATTGGTACTTGGTTAATAATTTTTTCGCCCATATTCTGCTGTGAACTGAAAATACTTTTCATGTATCAAGCTATATATATGTATACGCAGTTGTGTGCTGAGTGGTTTTGATTGTGTGGCAGAGGGAGGGGATATTTTCATTAAGGTACTGAGTTTTGTCAGCAGACATTCTGCTAATCAAGAAGACAGCAAGTGACAAGGAAAACAGATGTCTAGATACAGCTGAGTAGAGACATCCTTCAGTTCAACCTGATCAAACTGTCATCTCTCTACAGCTCGACTAGATCTGTGTGGGCTGAGAACATCTGTTCACCAGCGGTGTGACTCTGTCTCTGTCTCGGTCTCAGACATGAGAGTATCACAAGGCGAAGCAGAGAGGAAATGTATGGCAATGTGGTGTTGATGAATAGATGCTGCACGGCGAGAGGATTGTCACACTTAAGCCTTAGGTGTTTAAGATGACATATCACATTATCCCCCTGTCCCCCTAATGTGCTTTTCTATTTTAATTCCTGTCATCATCACAACTCAGAGCATCAAATTAAACTGTGTGCACACATTGAGTATGCAGCCTAGGTGTGTGGGCTCATTTCTGTGTGTATTTGTGTGAGTGTCTCGCTCTCAGTGTGTGTGTGTACGTGTCGTATGTGTGTATGCGTGTAATGCAGTCGCTCAGTCTGACAGGTATACTGTAGTGTTGAGGAGGTGAGGCTGGCACACACTGACATGCGGCAGCTCTCTCTTCCACCGCGTCCTTGCCCATTCAACCCAGGCTGACAGTGAGCTGCCTCACACATGGCCTGGGCCTCATGCATATGGAGGAGGGCAGCGAGAGGGAAAACAAGAATAACAACTACCCATGTTTGTGTGTATGTATATGTGCGTATGCATTCACACAGGTTTGTGTTCACAGCTCATATCACAGGCAACCACTTAAAAGAAAATGGTTGTTTCCCTTATACGTCTGAGATTAATTTGTTCTTCCTCTTCTCTTTCCTCCTCTCCTCTCCTCTATCTTCCACTACTCTATCCTCCTCTCCTCAGCTAATCCCTCAATTTTTCTTCACAACCTTGGGCATCACTGGGGCCATCCTCTACCTGATCCGTCTGTCAAGAGGGCCTCATGTCACGTAAGTCTTTCTGATGTGTAGTTTAGTAATCTTCCACCTTTCTTATGTATGTGCATTTACAGAATGTGAGCTGAATCTAAACCTGGGATTATTCTCATTTGATACTGACATTTTCAATATGGCCCATTGGGCTGGGTCTTGTTAGTCCCATGTTGGATCTGTGTATATTTTGGCAATGAGTCTGAATGAACTGAATTTAGAGTGTGTTGGTGGGTGTAGATTTCAAGTTTCACTAAAGACAGCAGTTTTAGGTATTTATCATTTAAGCAACTAACCAATGAGAGTCAAATCAAAAGTAATAAAAAACAACTTGTTATTGTTTTGTGATGAACAATCTATACACAGTAAAAACATAATTGGCAGTTCTTCAATTTGTTGGGCAACACATCCAATAAATATATCAGTGCCAGGTTAACATCTGCATATAATAGACTGATGATTTAATGTTACAAACGCTGATAGTGAAACTTGCAAATAAGACTCAGGTGTGATAAAATACTGTATTTGATACTACTATCACACAAAGCTTTAATGAAAGCTGCAAGACTACAACACGCAGATGGCTGGATTAACCTGTCATGTTTCATAATGACAATTTGCACCAACCACAGTGTGCATGAAGTAAATGTGCACAGCTCATGTCCTATTTTGAGCCACACAGAACCACTTGTTCTGAGGGTCAGCCATAAAGCCTGACCCCATCATCAGCTGGTGATGAGTGCTGTGGTCAGCCTCTGCCTCCCTCTCTCTCTGAGCCTGTCTAATGTTTGTGATAATGGAGTACTCGCATGCTCGCTCTGCCATCAGTCTCTCTGTGTCTTTGTTTGTGCTTTGGCGGCGTGACATGCTACTGCAGGGGGAGGAGGAGGAGGGAAGGACAGTCGCTGTGAATTCCAGACTTTGGTTAATGAACAGAGATGTGATGCCAAGTCACTGGGCTGAGTTCACCTCATCCCATAATCACCTCTCTCTTTTTTCATAATTTGTCTCCATCCACCATCTACATCTTTATCCCCCTTTGTCTCTGTCCTCCTGCTCTTTTTCTCCCCATCTCTTCTTTTTCTCTACATCTCCTCCTTGCCATGATCAAGTATGCCTCTCTCATATTCATCCTGTCTCTTCTCTTTCCTCTTTTTTTTCTTCATACCCTGAATCCTTCCACTTTTGCAGCCTCTGGGACAAGAACAACAACCCAGAGCCCTGGAACAAACTTGACCCAACCTACCAGTACAAGGTAACTCTTCCCATCACACATTCTCATTCTCAAGTTTGCTAGAAACGTATATAAAAAAGAATCATTTCATCAACTTAAAAACCTCACAAAAAAATAGATTTAAGCAAACCAGTGTTGGAAAAATGATGTCGGATCAATATGGAGGCTTCCTGGCTTTTACCACATCTGTTCGAATAAGAGAAAACAACAAAGGAAAACATGTCTTTCAAAACTAAACGAAAGCAGATGGAACAAAAGCTTTTAGTGGCTGGCAGTAATTTCCCTTACTTCTTGAACTAGGCCAACATGCCTGACCAACTAATGAAAATATTAACAACCCCGACAAACTCCACGATAGAGCAGAAAAACAACCAGCTGACAGAAGACGCGATCTGGATGTGTTTTTCAGAGAAAAGAACGTTTTCTGAGGGTTTCAAGGCTGCGTTGCTTGCCAGTGGAATGAAAGACTCGGCGGACAAAAGGTCAAGACATGGCATGTTTAATTCTCCACAGCAAGGCAAAGGTCTCACATCGAAATTCCACCGAAGTCCAAACAACGATCGTAATGAGGACAGGGAAGAGAGAGAGGGTAAAGAGAAGGGGATAGGTGAGAGTTTTAATGGCAGACAGAATAAATAAAAACACGGGGAGGAAATAATCACTGCCAGTGGTAAAATGTGTCTTTTTCATGGTTTGAAAGCTGTAATGTATGCTGACATCCAAGCAGTCATACAATGCATATTATCCATGACATATTTATTCATGGTTTTTTTTCCTAAATGAAAAAAAAAAAAAAGCTAGAAAGCATAAAGGTTTCAGTGAGCAAATGCATACATTCAAATCCATATCTGCTCTATAGATGGGAAGGAAACACCCTAACCTCTGTCTTTTTTTGCCAGTGTACTCTCCAAAAGACAGCACTGATTAATTTAATTTAAGCAAAGCAGATTTAAATGTATTCCTCCTGCCTTCCACAGTTTGTGGCCATCAACACAGACTACAAGAACCTGAAGAAAGAGGGCCCTGACTTCTAAAGGTCCTCCAGGCAGCTCCGGGGGCACTAGGTTTGGCAGGACCCCCGCTGTCTCCTCACTGATGTGAAATGTCTTCCTCTACATTTCCTCAGTCTCACATCGTGGTCTGCTACAGCGGCTCTGAATTAACACTGTAACCTTGTGAATAAAAATGATTAAATATGACACAAGACAGAGAGCTGGTTCTTCTGTGTATGATCATAAACATTGTTTAGATGCAACTTGTTTTCATGTTGGGTATTAATCATCATTCAGTAAAACAGTAACAATGCTGATAATCTGTTAATATTTTCTGGTGGTGCACCATTAACTGTAAATAAAGACGGACAAAGCATCTCCACTTCTTGATGTGGAGCTAAAAATGAAGCTTATTCCAGATAATGGTGCCACCATCTTGCATTCTTAACATCATTTGGAGCCAGAGTCCATGCAGTAGTGACTCTTCTGTGGAGCTGTGGTATTGAGGTTTAATCATGAGTTTGAGTGTTTGATTTGCATCGAATAACCAATTTAAAATAACTTAACGGAAAAAACACTTGAACAAACATCAATGTAATATGAACAAGCTAAAATGAAAGAAACAATCTTTGAGAAAATTGTATTTGATGGGTAGTTTTTACTTTTTTGTATTTTGTTCCTTGTCTCATCCAATAACATGGAGAAGGTGGGGTTTATGACCTACACTGCAACCAGCCACCATAGAGCAATCTAGATGATTTGACTTCGTCCATTTTTATATACAGTCTGTTGAGTGAACCCCTCAGCTGGACGGTCAAAGATAAAGGACAAACATGGAAAAGCAACTTTACAGCTGGTTTAATGACCCATAGCTTCTCTAAAAGCTGCAACTGGATCAAGCTAGAGGATTATTACCAGACTCAGCTGTTCCTCTGAGCTATAGATCTTTTTTACCATCTTCAGGCTCATTGTATTGTTTTTCTAACCAGCAACTTTGCTGTTTGGGTTCATGGTCACTTTTCACTTATCATTCATTTCCAGCTGCAGCAGACTGGTGTTTTCTGAGAAAAAAACCCTCCATGTAAACTACATGATGGCCACCAAGTGGCAGACAAACATTAGCAGGTAAACCTTAGTGGATAATTGATCAGCTTGGTTGAGCACCATGTATAATCACGACTCTTGAAAATGTAGATTACTACAAAAAAGAGGACAAAGAAGAAGAACTACCACATCTGCAACAACAAGAGATGGTATTGTAATATTTAGAACTGGTGATGCACCACATGGTGAAGCAAAACATAGAGATTAAACAAGATAATAGAATAAGGACCAAAACACACAGGAAAAAAGAAAATAGTTTCCACACATATTTATATTGTGGCAGAAGAGATGTAGCACCATAAATTGAAGGATTAAGTTCATGAAGATAAAAAAGCAGAGGACACTTTTTTCAGGGATGCCAGGTGAAGGACAACCTCTCTACTTATTATGCCATCCATGTTGCTAAATTAATAAGCGTGTGACATTACTAAGCACACCATGAAAAGCCAATTTTTGTGGTTGATTGTGTTAATGAACCCACGCAGCTCCACAAAACCAGACTTTTGCTTTTAATTTCCAAGGGAGAGACATTATTTACTGAGCTCATCACTTCACAAATCCAGCATCGCGGTGACAAGTCACACATGCACTCACACTGCGATATGAAGTTGCAGATGAAGAGGACCAAAATAGAAATTAACCATGAGAGATGAATATTCGTGTGGGTCATAGAGCTCTTTTTCAACCAGTTTTCAGTCCCAGAAAGATTCAGTCCAAGGAGACGAATCGCTCAAGTGTTTGATCACTGCCCGTCTGGAGGGACCAAAACATTTTCACTTTGCTGAGGAGCAGGAAAATATTTAGTATGGCTCCTACTGGCACAATGTCCCCATGTTGGAGTGCTCATTGAATGATAAATGTTGGTGTCTGTGTACACCTGTGTGTATCTATCCGCTTTCATTCAGTATTACTGTACACTCGACAACATAATATCCAGCACTAATGGCACACAAACTGTCTCGATGACGGACCCCTGAGTTCTCCTAATATACTACTTAATAGACAATCTATGTTCCAGGCCCCGCATGGGTCCATTTATGTGCGTGCGTGTGCGTCTGCTCCCTTTAAACAGCAATATGCTTCCTGCAGCAGCGTGGTGACCTGCCCAGTGGGTATTGTCTGTTGCTGGGAGGTGATTTGTGTGTGTGTGTTTCAAATGCATGAAACCCGCTGACAGGTAATCAGCCGGGCCAAAGCATCACACTGGGGCATAATCACAAGGTCACAGACACACACACACACACAAATAGGAGGGATAGTTATAATAGACCCTGAACAGCTTTGTTGAGATTGGACTGCCTCATGCATCATATTATAGGTACAAAACTTGAAAGCCGAGAGTGACTCACACTAGTAAATCGCAGCCAAACAATTTACCAATTAGGATAAATGCTTGTAGAATATGTCAAGATTCTGTTTGTATTGTTGCCGTCTCTTTTTTCTAATGTCATTTTCGCATTCTCCTCTTTCATTTTCCAACACTTCGAACACAATGTGCCTTTTCAGATGTTTATTCTGAGCTTTCTTTATTTAATAATGTGTTGTCCTAGCCTGCTTTTAGTCATTTTTTCCCAACTCACGCTACCAATAAAATAGGCCCACCGAGCTAAATTACAACATTCGTATGGCTTCAGCAGTTAGAGACTGTGTCAGCCCACGCAGTCCTACTCTAAAACAGCGAACACTAAGGCAGACATGCAATCAAAATCAGGCCTCAGTAGGCAGCCAAGGCAAGGCGGTGTGTGATTAAGATCTCCGTTTTACAAACACAGGTTGTGTTTGTCAGTGTTCTACTTCAGAAGTTGAAGTGAGAGCACTTTCTCGACAAACAAACACTTCGGCACTTGTCAGTTAAGAGGCAGAGGCAGAGGCAGAGAGATTGAGAGAGAGAGACCATCTCCTCCTCGATTACATCCTCTCTGACGAGCAAGAGTAGATATTTTTAGATGAGGATTAATTTTAATGGGTGAGATAAGAAGTGAGTCGTGGGTGGAGGAAGGGACGAATAAATAAGTAAATAGGACATGCCGCAAAACAGGAGGCATCGGTGGCAGCGCTTGGGTGGAGTGGCTGTTGTTGCGAGGCCCTGGGCAGATCCACTGATCCAGTGGAGATATCGAGGCCTTTCATCCTTGAATGTTTTCTCCTGCAGCTTGAAACCGAAATCAAAAGAGCAAACCAGCACTTGTCCATATCTACAAATGGAGCGACCTTTCACAACGGAGAGGCTGCAAGGTTAGATGGTGCAGAAAAAAACAATCAAGAAAAGCTGCTATGATAGTTTTGAAGTTTAACAGAAAAATACATCTTGGTTAAGCATGTTTCAGACAAAAGCTTTAAGAGTTTTTTTGATAAACATGGCGGGGTTTTACCAGTATGGCTGATATATAATGTATAAGAAATACATGTATTTGTATGTATGTACAGTATATACTGTATTTTAATAACACATTTCAGCAAATGTAGCCATGTTTTGTATTCACATCTTTCTGTATTTTAAGTTTTTCTTAGAAAAGTATACTCACAGTGATACTCGCAGTGATCAATACAGATTGCGTCTACAAGTGAGCCCCTGGTAAGCACAGCTGAAGAAAACATACAGCAGATCCCACTAAAAAATATGACAATGTACAAGGCAATATTCTTCCTCCATATGTATCTATGTATCTATCTCTCTCTCTCTCTATCTCTCTCTCTCTCTCTCTCTCTCTCTCTCTCTCTCTCTCTCTATATATATATATATATATATATATATATATTTATACATACACACACACACTGTATATGTATATATGAGTCCCCAAAAATGCCAGCGACGAGTTTATGATATACAGCATGAGAATAGCTGGTACCATGTTAAAAGCAGGACAAAGAATTATGCTGCATTGGCAGTCTTGTTCCTAGAATCCCTCATCGCTTTAGGAGCGAGGAGAGTCTCCATTGCGTTAGACCAGGTGGAAAAAAAACCAGGATTCATTCATTATTGGCTGCCTGCAGGTTTGCTGCAGGAGTGAAGGAAATGTTTGTTTGTTTGCTGAAGTTATTCTGGTAAAAAGAAGAAAATCGTAAAACTGACTCTTTCAGACACAATCTCACTGACCACTTTAACACAGATACAGACACATTCAGGTACTCAGGTTCTTGGATTGCAGATCAGGGACACTGTTTAGACGATTATTTGTGGATGGAAATATTTCTTTGTCCCCCAGTGTGTCATTAATCCAACCGATACAAAGAGACAAACAATAAAAAGTCTGTTTTGTTTTAGGAGCTCAAATTTAGTGTTTTTTTCACTTGTAGAAAGTGAAGTATGTAATTGAAGTAATACATTACAGTGACCCAACACCAATATATTAAAAGTAAAAGCCAACTTTTAAAGAGGTTTAGTTTAAAAAATAATAACAGGCCTCTCTCACAGCAGACATTTTAACTTTTTTCATTGATTACTATTCTATTCAAGGGTCAAGGCCATGACAGTGTGGCAGTGAGTCAGCATGAACAAAAATCCAGGACCCTGAAACATGGAATTCAGCATGGAAATCATCAATTATTTTTATTTACACCTTACACCTACTGAAAACATGATACTGGTTTTAATTGTATGGTGAAGGTCTCTGTTCGATTAGTTGATATGCTCTTGTCCAATCAACAAGAAGTAACATTCATAAGGGGAACAGCGCCGCATCAATATCCTTCCAGGATTATTATATTATTTTTGGCAGCAGGAGGAACAGACTACCTGAATCTTTTTATGAAAGACGATTAAAAAGTTGAATCATAAATTCCTGTTATTCATTGCATCATTACTCACTCCAATATGTTCAGGGGTTTTGCTGCAACATACTAACTTGGTCTGGTATTACTAGTACTTGCAGGCAGCATTACATTTTCAGCAATAACAATTACTTTCTAATTGTCACTTGTGGTCACAGTCAGTGATAAAAAGCTATATATTCTTAATTCAAATCCCTCTGATCACCTGTGCTAGTCCAACACACCTTCGTCTTCATTGACATTTCCCCAAATACTCATTTAACTTTGTTGCACAATTTATTGTTATTCGCTACATAAGTATAGCAGCAGCAAGGTGTGATATAAAAGATTAAGAGTAGGATTAGGATTATTGTACAGAGGCACACACTACGATGATGTCTCATGGACACTTGTGTTTCATTACAGGTTAACTGCAGTGCATTGGATGTCTACATCAGACTAGGAACATCATTACAAAGAGACAGACAGACAGACAGACAGACAGACCCTCCTGTCCTGTGTTTTTATTATCACATAACTTCTGTCAGGACAGGTATTGAAATGACAAAAAGGACAAGCATGAACACTCCATACACACACAAACACACACGCACGCACGCACGCACACACACCAGATAAGCAGACTGAAGATACATTTCTAATTAATTGTTGGCATTGTCATTTATCCCTCTCTTCATTAAACAGACGTGATTTATTGTCAGATCAGCTACAAGGGGAACTGAATTCTATCATCTTTTTCATTTGTGTGTGTGTGTGTGTGTGTGTGTGTGTTCCATAGACTGTATGGTGTGTTCCTGCAACAACAAGGGGAGGATCAGAGAGGAGTTTGTCGGGCTCTGACATATTACCAGCATTATGAAGAATTATACCAGATGGGTAAAACTGTGTACAATTATTACAATTACAACTGAAGAGTACTTTTTCATTACACTTTTTCTTGCTTACGGACCTATTTATTTTAAAGAGTGATTTTACAATCCACTCCGCTGCTAAACGATATTGTTCATATCGACAGATGTGCGTAAGACTGTTTGGCCTTGGCAGAGCTAAGCGTTCTACTGCATGCCATTTGTTTTAAGGTATTCTAATAACATAGTCAGAAGCTGAATCATTCTGTTGAAGGCAACACCTCAACCCAGATACCATTAGTCAATTTAAACTGCTTAAACCCTGCTAGCATAAACCAGCCTCAACACACTAGAGTTTGTTACAGAACTGGAATGAAAACAAGAATGCCAATAATAAACAGGCATTATCCATTAAGGCCAAATTTGTTTAAATGTTATACTACTACTACTACTACTACTACAACTACAAACCCTGCAGTACCAAATGCCATGTGGGGAGTCTTAGTAGTCTCAGTATACACACGTTATATGTCAGTCACAGGTCACATCATTGTGTCAGATATTCATCATTATTAATATTAGTAACATTAATTGTAGATGCAAACCTCTGGTGAAATGTTAAGCATTGATGAGCCGATAAAAACTGCAGTGAACTGATATATAGTATAAGTTGAGAATGAATGCAGGTGATGCAGCAGAGAAATAAGCATCAGATTCAAATATGACGTGAAATAAAAAGCAAACATTAAATCAGACAATCACATCAACACAGAATTGCTTCCAGTTTAAATATGTCTCTAAAGTGTCCCATAAAGTCAATATTACACGGTAACAGAGTGTGAATGGGCCATTGAAAAGGTAAAACGAGGTAGCATGGGAATCACAGGATAATGTCTGCACCATCCAACCAAAGCAAACAACATGACAGCAGATCACCATCAATAAAAATAGAAGACAGCAAATAAAACCCAGCAGACAAACTCCCAAACAGAACAGCCAAGTTAGCATGAATAGCAATCACTCACCTTGATGAAGCAGAGTTCCCTGGTGTCTTAGTCCACAGCAAATCCTCTGGGAAAAGTATCACGAGTTGTGAAGTGCAGCTATTCCAAGTGTTTCTGGAATCCAAGCATCCACGTAGAATGTTACTGAACCGAGCAGGTGCTTGCTAACAGCTAGGAGAAGTTAGCAGCAGCTAGTTGAAGTTGAGAGAAGCTAGCAGAAGGTAGGAGCAGGTGCTTGCTAACAGCTAGGAGAAGCTAGCAGAAGCTAGCAACAGGTAGTTGAAGTTAAGAGAAGCAAGCAGCAGGTGCTTGCTAACAGCTAGGAGAAGCTAGCAGCGGTTAGGAGGAGATAGAAGCAGAAGCTAGCAGCAGGTGCTTGCTAACAGCTAGGAGAAGCTAGCAGAAGCTAGCAACAGGTAGTTGAAGTTAAGAGAAGCTAGCAGAAGCTAGCAACAGGTAGTTGAAGTTAAGAGAAGCTAGCAGCAGGTGCTTGCTAACAGCTAGGAGAAGCTAGCAGCAGTTAGGAGGAGATAGAAGCAGAAGCTAGCAGCAGGTAGTTGAAGTTGAGAGAAGCTAGTAGACGTTAGCAGCAGGTGCTTGCTAACAGCTAGCAGAAGCTAGCAGCTGCTATATATCCTTCACAAAGTCTTTTATTTTCCATGGTAGACTCTGTTATCAGCCTGTTGTCAGGTTAGCTTGTTTCTAAAATAGTTAATGTGCAGTAAACACTGATCTGTAGAGGTGGTGTGAGCTTCACTGCAGGAGAACAGACGCAGACATTATGGGGGACACAGGTTTATGTAGCCCGCCCTGTTAGTGAGGGTGCGTTAGATTTGTGTTACAGCTGCGAGAGGAGGTCACGTGAGTGAGGGTGAAGAAGAACCACTGCAGCTCTGAGCTACATGTTGAATCATGACTGTTTCTGAAGAACCAGCTCAGTTCAGTTGGGTTTGTATGGTCACTTGGACTATTATTGCTATTTCTGAACCCTGCTTAGAAAATATAACCTTTAATAGCGGTATAATAAACATCTACCTGCTGCCCCTCAACCCATTACTACACGAAAATATCTTTAAAACAGCAGTGGAGGAGCTAAACCTATCTTCTCATTTTGTAAAAGCATTTTTTCGGTAAAATATTTACATATATTATAAAAGTAATTGGTGTATTAATCACAGATTATGTGGTTTGTATGTAAAATTGTATTTGTAAAGTAACTAGTAAGTTAATGTAGTGGAATAAAAGGTATGATTTTCATAAATGTGTGTTTTATATTAGTATTATATAAATGTAAAGAACTTAAAAAGGAATTCAATACAGTACTTGAGTGCAGTAAAAGTACTATGCAACACTTAAGAGCTAAAAACCAGGTCTCAGGCATTAGATCACTAAATTTATAGAAATGTTTCCATGGTTATTATTTCTGTATATGAATTTCTTTTACAAACCTTCACCAGGTGAATCATCTATGGGTTGACCGACCCTCACCATTCCAAAACTAAGTGATTTTATTAATAATTATAAATGTGTTACTGCAGTCACAATTTCCAACAATATAACACACAAATACATCAGTGCTCCCAGACAAATGTGCATCATCACAGTCCAGATAAACACACACATAGAATGATGGTCGTGTAGTGTAAGTGTATGACAAGACATGTATAACAATATCACTTACACAACATAAGTTATGTTTGCGTTATTTGATTTTTATTAGATTTCAGGTGTTAACATAAAAATGTTCTGTAAAAGGCAGTTCAAACTTGATGTACAATCGCTGGCAACACATCAGAGATGAAAACAAACAAATAGTGCATTCATGAACACTGTAGTAAAATACTTGGTGCATTTTTGGCAACATCTACTTTATTGGTTGTCACGAAAATATTCAGTGATGTGGATAATTCACATTATTCTGTTGACTTTAGAATCTGTGTTTAGAAGAAAGAAACACACTGTTTCTAATGGCCTCTTTTCAGTTGTGCTGTAAGACCATTTCACAGACAGAAATCTTGCTTCCTCACTGATGCAGTGATAATGACAACAGTGTCTGTGAACCAGAGAGACAACAAAGTACCTTGAAAATGTTTTATCAAATCCAACTACTTCACAGTTTTCATGTGGTTAACTAAATGACGCTCAGAAGAGAAAGACTGCACAACAGATAATTTTTTCCTCTAAATCCACAAATCATATTGACACTCATGGTGAAATGATAGTTACAGTTAATTCTCTTTAAACAATATATGCAAAAGTATATACTCTTTGTAAATGCACTTAAAGGAAATAATCCAGGATGACATCTGTATTTCATTTGGTTGTTTAGGTCATAACTAATATATAGAGCAATTATAATCTGACATCTATTATATGAGTAACGAGAAAAGAAGATACAATTGTGATTGTAAAAAAAACATGCATGGTTAGATTTTCACACCTATTATATTGTAAAGCAATCTGATACAAACTAAGTTCTTCAAACTTCTTGTTTTAAGTGTTGGCGTGAAATTTGTTTTTAAACAATGTGAGTTTGTAGTGATGCTTTATATCACTATTTCAGATGAAGACGAGTCCACCTCCTGTAAACTCAGACTTAGACCCTTATTCTTTTGAAGACAAATCTTGACTGAAGTTAAAGAGCTGCATTTCAAAAATTTGATTTTGGGAGAATTTCGGATTTTCAAGAAGATTCTCATTTAGGAAAATATTAGCTGGTCAACACAACATTTTTTTGATAGAACAACCCTTCATATTATGAAGCTTTCTTGTGTGCCAGGTTACGCTAACAGTAAATTAGTAAAAAAAAAAAACATGCATGCATCTCCATGTGAAAATAGTAATTTACATTAGCGATTTTAGTAATGACTCTTTACAGCATTAAGACTCTTTAGCAGAATTTATTATATTTACCAATTATACATTACTCAGGCCACAGAGGCTGTGTGACCAATAACTGTTTTGATTTGACATGTTTATTCAATCCTCGATCTCACCCATGTTACAGAAATGTGTGTAAAAAAAAGTGATAAAGATCTTCTACACATAAAATAGAAAATATTTTCTTTGCCCCTAAAAAAAAAAACTCTGTAATATTGTATTTTTTATGAAGGCCAGGTCCCCCCCCCCCACAAGAATAGATAAATTGATGACTGCAAAGAAGTATAAAAATGCAGTTTCCCAAACCTGACTGATAACAAGGAAACTCAAGTTTCATCCAACTTTACTGGCACCAACCACGTTTGACTTCCACATGACATTTTCCCCCTCTCCTTAGACATTTCTGCTCAGCCAGCTTTCTATCACCTGGCTTTCAGCACGCTGAGTCCGCACAGACTGGCCTAATGATCGTGGAAGCCTGGCATGGGGAAGGGCCTGGCAAAAGCTTCAACGCGGTGGCGCAGATCAGCTATGCGAGCCACAGTCTCTGGGTCCTCGAGAAGAAAGTTCTTGAATTCTTGGAGCTTTCCTGTAAAAGACAAAGGAAAAGAGATTGTTCATCATTTTTTATTAGTAAGCACAGAGCCTTTTTTTTTACTCTCCCTCCACACATTAGGCTTACCTGTCTTTTTCTTAACATCCAATGCGATCTTAAAGCCCTCGTCCATGAACTCGACCACTTGGACAAAGTCTCCTTCTTTGAACTGTCTGGATGTCAAGGCTGGAGCACCTGGAACAGAGACGATTACACATTTAATTTATTATTCTTTTAATTAATTCTTTATCTAATAAGGAAGGTCTCATTGAGAAAAAATATCTCTTTTGCAAAAGAGTCCTGTTTGGGCAGCAAATGAAATAAAAAAGTTTCATACATAAATACAAGCAGAGATAGATGAAACAAAAAACATATTAAAACACAGCTGACAGATTAAAGCACAGAACAAACCCTTCAGCTTGAAATAAAAAAGTGAAGACTGGTAATTTCTTCCTTTTACTTTACAGTTGAACTGTCTGTTTTTCTTTTTCTTGCTTTTTTTAAACTGAGGAACCATATGGTCTTTGGAAAATAAAAACAGAACCCTTGAGCTTCTGGAAATTTTGACTCTAGATGTGTCAAAGTAAACAGATGCTGACAGACACTAGACGTGTCAAAACCAAACGTGCTGACAATCAACGAGTCACAAAGGTGCAGTCCAAATGAAAATAACAGCAGAGCATTGTGCTGTGGGTGAAGTATTTGCCTTAAGATGATGCTAAAAATGTGACAGTGTAGAAGTGGAGCTCTTGAACTTCCTGGAAGATGATTAAAAAGCCAAACATGCTTAATTAATTATGTTTTGCTCAGTGCTTGTGGCTTAATTGGTGGCTTACTAATTTCCATATGCAAAACTAAGCAAAACAGACCAAGTGGAGACGACTGCAAAATAACTATGACAAAAATAAACTGACTCAGTCCCAGTGTGTTGGTCAGAACGACTGACCAGCACAACGGGACTAATTATCTTGACAGTAGGAAAATCATTTACAGTTTCTTGAGCCATAAAACTTTCTGATTGTACGAATCAGCACAGTTACTTTTGTTTTAAGTAGTTTGTGATAATTTCCCTAATAAGTGTGACATGAACTTGTCTGAGTCGAGCTAAATGTGGTGTAATACGAAGCTCTTCCTTACCTAGCCTGAGGCCACCAGGAGTCAGGGCGCTCTTGTCCCCAGGGCACGTGTTCTTATTGGCAGTGATGGACACAAGCTCCAGCACCCTTTCGGCTCGAGCTCCATCAATCCCCTTAGGTCGCAGGTCCACGAGGACCAGGTGGTTCTCGGTCCCGCCTGAAATATTCAGCATTATGAGTTAAAACTTTTGAAGGAAGAAAATCTAAATCTTCATAGACACAAACTTCACTTCGCTTTTAAGAATTAATGTTGATGAGGTAATGTTTCTAGATTTAATAACATCGAGGATATGAAATTGATGAAACCAAATTACTGTTGTGTGGTGTGTTGTCAGGGCCCTTAATGTTTTACATCTTCACTTTTCTCATGCATTTGTCTACTTGTCTACTTTGTTAAACTGATAACTGTTAACTTCATTAAGAAATAACTATGAGTCTGCTTTTCTTAATGAGCTCTGAGAAGGTGAGTAATGGACGATTCCATTATAACTACACTTTAATCAACATACTGAGAGTAAAGTTGATTGTTATTGTGATAATGAGCAAAGCAGGAAATTCACTACAAAGATATCAGAGTTAAAACTATGCTCATTTGTAATTGTTTCATATATACACTCAGTTGACAGTATATTAGGGACAGCTTGCTAAAACTAATGCAGCCAACATTTTTTAAAACTGCACTTCATGGTCTGTTGACAGACTCCTGACTGCACAGACTAACCCTTTATCTATTAGTGAGGTTGGGCTGAATAACAGAAACACTAAAGTTTAACAACAAAACAAACCACAGCCTCTGCAAAGACCAAACATTTGAATCTACACCTCTCTAACCTCTTTAATTAAAATGTTAACATGACAACCTTCATGATGTTTAGTTCAGTACTGCTGCATTAGACTGCACTAGTTTTAAATGGGCCTAATAAATGAGCATCTGACTGTATATTTTATTCTAAAAAGGACATAGCTGAAAATGTGTAACTCATAAGCAAGCAGCTTACTTGAGAAAGTGCACGATTATTTTTCTTTTACAAGTTTCTAATTTAATATAGTCAGTATAAAACACCTCTTTACTTTTTTTTCTTTTCGAAACAACATCTACAAAGGGATTAAAAAAGAGAGTATGCAAGTAATGCAGTGTAAGCACAGGACTGTATTTGTTAGGGTTTCAAATGAAGGCTTCATATAAAAAAAAGCTGAGGCCAGCGTATCAAATACAGTACAAGATTCTAGTTTTCACTCACAACCACAAAGTGGCCACTTTCTGGTTTCATTTGCTTGACTGACGAGAGACTTACTCTGACATGAGCTCATTTGCACATCATGAATTTAAATGCATTTCAGGTATTTTTAACAATGTAATTTCCATACGGTGACAGGACATTTCTCTTTATTGACCTGTGTTTTTGATTTTTCTTTCAGGTGTCTGCTGAGCCAGTGTTTAAAAATAAGAAGATGCTTAAATATAAGTTAGCTTACCTGATACTAGGGTGTAGCCTTTACTGAGAAGAGCTGTGGCCATTGACTTAGCGTTCTTCAAAACCTGGGCAATATACTCCTTGAACATGGGAGAATTTGCCTGGTCACACAGAAAAGATAGGTTGTTAATATATACATGACATCTTGTTTTTTGAAACTCAAAAGTCTTTTTTATTTGTGTCTTGGAAAAGAAATACAGAATACTTAAATATGACATAATCTAAGTGATAAAAAGCCAAACATGTTGAGAACCTCAGAGAAAATTCTCTCCAGTGGTAAAAGTAAATTATGCTGCCTTTCTATCCTCTTTGACATAATAAATTCAAATAACCGTTTATCACAACATTAACACACAGACAGTTCACACTTGGGATGGATAATAGACAGATGTCTGCCTGTTGCTCTGGGAACAGGCTCCTGAGGCAGGTGGTGTCAAAGCATCTCAGGGGTAAGATTTTGTTTCACTGGAAAATTTGATTCGCCAGTTATCAGTGTCTTATTACGAGATAACAGACCAGCGTAATCAAGTGCTACATCAATACAAAGGTAGTTATGAAACAGGGCCTTTGTGTGCAGTACTGACCTGTCTGAGTGCCACAGCCACACCAGCGATAGCGTGGTTGTGAGGTCCACCCTGCAGCGAGGGGAAGACAGAGAAGTTGACCTTGTCCTCGAGGTCATACATGATCTCCTTCCCCTTCTTGTCCACTGAGCGAACGCCCTTGCGGTAGAAGATGAGGCCAGCCCTGGATAATACAGAGCAATTTACTAACTTGGCATTTTTAGCCTTTTATCCTTCTCTAAAACCAAAGTCAAGATTTATCCCTGCTAATTTTTGTCCCTGCCCGTGCCTCCTCTAGCACATTGGCTCTGCTTCTTACCTGGCTCCCCGGAGGGATTTGTGTGTGGTAGACGAGACCAGGTCAGCGTATTCAAAGGGAGAGGGGATGGCTTTGGCTGCGACCAGACCGCTGATGTGGGCCATGTCTGCAAGCATGTAGGCCTTGATGTCAGTACACAGCTGAAAGAGAACGGGTGCAAAAGAGGGAACAAAGACAAAATTAGGTTTCATATCTATACCTCAGGGCAGAAAATATCAGGTTTTCATCTGCGTTTGTTTATTAGTTAGCAGGATTATTCAAAGACTACTGGACAGATCATCATGAAACTAAATAGAGGGACGTGGTATGGGTCAGGGAAGATATTCCGGTGCCTGACTTGGTCAGCTGACAATATTCCACTGTTGAGCAAAAGAAACATCTTCAGTCTTGTTTTCACTTTACTTTTCCAAATTGGGAGACAAAATGGGTTAGTCCTCTCACCCAACACTACAGACTGTGCTCTGTAATGTATGTTGAAATGTCAGATAAAGAGATTTGCTCTCTTGGCTCTATTACATTTACATTTTCCCCCCACGGTTAAGATTTGATAACTGCAGATATTTCAAATGGGAGCAGGTATAATTACACTCTTCAGTTGTCTTCAGAGGCCACAAATATACAGCATAATTCAATAAATCCTGACTGTCTCTTGCCAGTATTTATTGAAAAAGAGACAAACAATAAATAGCTCGCTAACATGCAAATTACTTGCTGGCGAATGATCAGAGTAGTAAACAATCTTTTTAGTGCTTCAATTAATATGCATTATCATGACAACCTCCCTTCCCTCATATCTAAACTGGATCAGCGCATGTTTATTAGATTAAAAGGCATGGGAGATGGCAGGGTTACTGGAGGGGGTAAAGAACACAAGAGGGTGATGTGCAGTAGCTGATGAACACCGATAGTAAAACTAATTTCAGATGGGGGGTGGGGGCTGCTTCAATCTAGGTAACACAATGCTGAAATTCTGGAAAGGAGCCCGGCCCAGCACATTCTGCCATAAAACGAAGAACAGTTCCACAGAGACATGCCAGGGGGAAAATATGGCCCCACTTCACGCCTAGTGGCAAAGTAGTTATGGTGCTTAATAAAAACACAGCTCTGTAATGGTGGGACACTCCATCTGATGGTGCAGGCTAAAGTGGAGCTCTGCAACAAAGGGAAGCAGTCATGGAGTGAATGAAGTGAGTCAGCCAGTGGGTATAACAAAACAGATAAAGGGCCCTCTTGTGCACTGTCAAAGAGCAGTGAAGTGTGCGCTTAGAAGTTGATGCTGTGTATGTGTGAGTCTGTGCCATGTTTAGTTTGGTCGAGTAGGCAAGCGAGGAAGACAGCATCTGTGTTGTTGTGCACAAGGTTAAAAGAGCCTCAAAATTGGTTTGTGTTTGGAAGTCAAAAGTTAAAAAATGTAATGTTTAGACCAGACCAGACTCTTTCTGCTGTAGTTTGCAGAAGAGATATGTTTGGAAATAATCCTTGCAGGGTCTGACTAAGGGAATCAGGTGACAAAGTGACAGGTGAGTTTTAAATAAGATGGTCTGTCCTTCTCAAGGCAGGATGAGACGTGGAATAAACAGGCTGCTGGTAGAGTGAAACACATAAATAGAGAGATAGATGGGGGTAAAAGCTGGGTGACATTTGAATACACAGAGTTCTCCACACACCTTCTTGATGCGGCTGTAGTCAATGAGGCGGGCATAGGCGCTGGTGCCAGCGATGATGAGCTTGGGTCTGAACAGCTTGGCCGTCATCTCCATCTGCTCATAGTCTATAAGTCCTGTTGCAATCTGAAGAGACACAGAGAGAGAGACGGAGTGAGAGGAAAGAATAAAGAGGATGTGTAGGAGGAATATGAGAATATATGAGGAAGAGTAAGGGTCAGGAGAAAAAAAAAAAAGACCGGATCCAGAGTAAAAATATCAACACAGAGGATATTCTTTTTCATTTTAAGATTATTTGAAGCAGCTGCAATTGAGGTACTTTGGCTACCTTAAAAGGGGAAGAAATGTATCTTAGGGAGACATTTCAACCCATCATATCATGGAGGAAGATGGTAAAATTGCAGTAATCCCCCCTACTTATCCTAATTTAACCTTTCAGGGATCTTCTCAACTGCTGTGATGAGGCTGAGAAGATTGGTTTGGAGACTTCTCCTGCTCTTTTCACTGAACTGAGCAATAAAGAGGCAAGTTAGACAACCTATTGTTCAGTGGGTGTACTTCAGAGTCACATGAAATGGAGTCGGGAGCAGTCAACTGACCAGTTTGTCTTGTGCCAGAATCTGAAGTTTTAGCCCCAAGCTTTCACTCCAAGAACCAGAAAAGAGAGACAAGAAGAGACAGGGCAAGATGGAGGAGAAAAACAAAGTGAGAGACAAAAAGGATAGAGAAGAAGGCAGAAAAGAAAAAAAGAGAGAAAAGAAGAAGGGAAAGCTTTATTTAGACAACCTGATAATCTCCCATCTCCAGAGCACATCTATGGATGCCCCCTCACTCCATCAAGCTGCTCATTGTGGAGACAGAGCCAGTGGTGCTGGCCAGCCTGTCGATTTCCCATTATCTCTCTCGCAGAGGGGTCCTGCCAGCCCATACATCAGCAGGTCTGGACATGCAGACTTTCACGGCCATCCATCAGCCGCTAGCAACTCTACCACACAACTCTGTCCCAAGGAAATAAAATGCTGCACACTAACACGTGACGATAATCTTATCTACATGTTAACTTGAAAAATTACTGATCACATCTGAGTGGCCCTGTTAGTGCAGATCCTCATGTAGGTGGAACGCAGCACTTCAGTTGTTTAATGTTGTATACTAATAGAACTGATTGGCTAGATTGAGAAAGACTGGCCACACATCACACAGCCCTTGAGTTTAAGTTGCTCTGTCGGCAAGCACCAGTGAGCGAGTGAACGTCTGATGGGATAATGATTCACCAAGTTAGATTCTGAGGCTACATCCACACTAATGCCTTTTTGTTTTAAAATTAAAACGATCTCCGTCCAGGCAAAATTTTCATTCCCAAACTTGTCCAAGTGTCTTACAGAATAATGTCAGGGTAGCTGTTTACAATGACCACAAACAAAAGTGAATGTAACATAGATTGACTTCAAACTGAGAAAATCTGCCTTCTGAGGTGGCCCAGTCAGAGCCCAGACCATAACCCAGCGAGTGCAGATGCTGTGGTATGACCCCAAGAGAGCAGTTCACACCAGACATCCTAAAAATATCACTGAACTAGTTCTGTAGATACTTTTTCCACCGGCAATTTAAGTTTTTAAGTCTGTGTTTTTAAACACATTTTTTGTGTCATTAGTTAGTAAGGTAAAGCTGAGATCACATTATCTCATTCCAGATGCCTTAAGGTACAATAAATTATTTTGCAAAATGTCCACATTAAGTGCAGTTTATCGATAAATACCTGCACAATTTAATAAGTAGCAGAGATGACCTTGTACAGAGTGCTGCCGGAGAACAAGTAAAGCTTTGCACTGGCATGTCCAGACATCTGAGAAGACTGTGGCAGCTCTGACCAACTGTACAAGTCCAAGTGCTGGTTTATAAGTCATAGAAAACAACTGAGCCTGAAATCCTGCATACGACTGTCTGAACTTTAAATTACCCAATAATAGGAATTTAGAGAAGTCCTCTCATCTAACAATCCAACATAATCATTCCTAACATTTATTAATGAATTTCAAATATGGTGCTGTATAACCTGTCTCAGCTGCACAGCTTTCATGATACTATAACATGCGTTTATCACCGTTTTATCAATTTGTTTAACCAAAACTCTCCACCATTTTTTGGAAACCTGACTGTTTATCACTGGTAGAAGACAGTCTGCTTGTTTGTTAGTTAATACCAGTAGTAGGGGTCTCTACTTACGTTTAGCTTGTATGGCATGGACTCAAAATAGATTGAGGTTGCTGAGATCCTCTTTACATCAGACATGTAGCCATGGGTCAGACTTGAGTGACAAAAACAAACATGTAGACAGACAGAAAAACAGGAACACAACACATCAGTTACATTACTTAGCGAACAACTTGATATGGGTAAAACAAAAATATTTTTGTAATAAAAAAAATTGTAAAAAGAAAAATACATTGAATTCATTCTTCTGGTCCTAAATGTGATGCACATTGACATTGAAAAGTGTGAGTATAGAAGAGAACAAGTAACAGGGCAGTGATTAAGTGTTAAAAGGAAACCACAGTAACTACTCACTGTCCTCCGTCAGGCAGGTCCAGGCCCATGATGCGGTCGTGGGGGTTGAGGACGGCCGTGTAGACAGCAAAGTTAGCGGGTGAGCCTGAGTATGGCTGGACGTTCACACCCCACAGACCTGGGTCCAGGTCAAAAGCCTCCAGGGCTCGCTTCTGACACAGCAGCTCAATTTGGTCGACCACTTCTGCTCCACCATAGTATCTTTGAATGTATGGTCACATGTGTTTGAGAGAAGGAAAGAAAAGAAAAAGAATTAAACTTATTCATCGGGAGGGAGATTTACTTTAGGCTTGTTTCAGAAAAATGAGGAACATTTCAACAGTTCTGTTGCTGTTAAATGTGAATTATCCAAGGGAAATAATAGAAAACAGAAAAACAGAAAAAAGAAAACATCCAACTATCCGCCTGGCACCAAATTCTTCCAATGTATCCCCTTAGGAATCTTTTTTGGCAAAGCAGAAGCTGTGGATTATTCGCTGTGTGGTTGGCACAGTAATAAGGCTAGAATGCACAGTATAAGTCAGTGCGTGCCTTTATGTGTGTTTATGTGTGCGTGTCTGTGACAAATATCCTGAAGCAAATATCAACAGTGTTAATAATCTGGTGTGTGGCTGGATAAATGCTCACCTTCTCCCTGGGTAGCCTTCAGAGTATTTGTTGTTCAGACAGGAGCCCTGAGCTTCCAGAGCTGCTCGGCTGCAAAAATTCTGTGGTGGTGACACAAGCACACACACACACTCAGATCAATGACACCATTGGACAAAAGGGACAAGGATGGCAAATTAAAGTCTGTTAAGTGATAGTAAGAAATCCCCCTCCAGCTAAAGGCAATCATTACAGTATTGAACCTCTGGTCTTCCATAGGCTAACACTCTGCACTTCACAATGCTTATCACCTTGCTGCTAGAGGATACAAGATAATATTATAAGCTTTTCTGCCTTTTTCATCCTTTTGCAATGTGTGAGTGAAATCTTTTTTTTTCCAGTGAGTATGGTTTGCTGCAAAGGACAATTATACCACACATGTATAAAACATCTTGTCCATTTCCTTAAATATAAGCCATGTTAAACAAAATGTGTTAATCTACCATAGCTAATATCTGAACTCTGACATATTTATAAATCCAAATTCAGTTAACTCATTCCATTGATTTATTTGTTTAAATTACTGTGATACATTAGATTGGACCAATAATTATCTTACACCAGAATCATTATCATAATTAGATACAACTTTAGTGTATTAATAAGTTCATATTTAATAAGATGTATTGTGACAACTATTTAAGAAATCTTTGATTTAAGCCTTGTTTTTAGAAAACCATTCTCACATTTAGCTTCTGAAATGTGAGGATTAGTTATCATGATGACGGGGTTATGATTCAATATATTTGGATATACAACAATACTGAAAGGTGATATTTCAATCTAATCTTATTTAAAAAACATAGTATAAAGAATACACCACCATATACTTTATGTAATTACAACAGTTGGATTTGCATTTGCATTCATCACAGTCCCTGTCACATCCAACATCCTTGCACTAGTTTTTATGTAATCAGCAGAGCAAGAAGCTTTTGGTAAATATATTATGTAAATAAACAAAATGTGAACTGACAGTTTTACATAGAGTAGTTGAGAGAGATCCACTCATTCCATTCGCTGTGCTCTCAATTTTGTTGTGTCCCCAAAGTATTTGATGTTAAATGACACAGTACATGTTGCAGCTTGTAAGGCTCTTTTCAGGTGGCTCCTTGATTGTGGAAGCCTACACTTCAGCTCTGTACTCCACAGGAGCATGTATCACTATTTGGTTTCAGACATTAGTGGTCACATTGGTCACCAGCCAACACTAAGGCATACCACCTGTCTCAGTTTATGTTGTTCTGTTGGATAGGATGAGTAATACAAACTTAGCTACTGAGGAATTAAATACAACACAAAACTTTTGTCCTGCCACAGCTTCACCAAGGGGCTTCAGTCCTGCTTTGTATGTGTGTAACCATCCACAGCTTCTATGGCAACCTCTGATTAAAAAAATTCTCCTCCACTGAGGTTTCTTCTTTGTCTTTTTTGAGGAGTAAAATATTTCTGTTGGTTAAATTATTACTGTTATTTCGGAGCATTTGTGAATATGTTTGCTGGAGATCAAGAGGGTTTGTCCAACTCATGTCAAAACCTTCCGGCCACACAGACATTCCCTCTTTTTTATTTCATAAAATTATGGGATAATGTAAAAAAATATTAAAATAATCAGAAGACACTTTTTATTAAGTTGCTTTAATATTTTACTGTAAGCTTAGCCTTGGCAAAGTGTTGAGCTGCATGTTTATGGGCACGTGCATTATGTAGGAAGAAATACTTAAAAATTTGACAAAAACAACAAAATGCCATATTAGAGTAAAGGCAGATTAAGCTTGTGGGCAAAAAGAAAATTTGAATGGACTGTGGGTTTGTGTAAGTGATTACTGGATTATATCTGTTACATAAACAAATGTGTGCAGCCTCACTTTTGTAAATGACAATGCACGTCACTTTTAGCATGACCTCCTGACACAAAACTCTGTGTTTTTATCACACTGGCCAGTAATAGGCTCTGACACAAAGCCAACCACTCGCTCTGGTGGTGTGTGTGTTGTGTGTGGTTATGCTAATGCTTCACCTGGGAGCCAAGAGAAGATCAAGGGAGATAACAGCTCCAGTAACAGCTTTCTGCCGCGTCCGTCTGTCATGCTGACGACTGTGCATATATTAGAAAAGGAAATGCATTTGCTTTTCAAGGAGTGCGGTTGTTTTAACATCCCGATGGGGACTTCAGCCTTAATACACAAATCTGCAGCGTCCAAGTAGCCCAGCCCCCTTAATACAACCTAATTTTTTGAAACACCACATTTTAGCGCACCGGCTCTAGTTAATGATGGATACTTCATCTGCAATAAAGTAAAAGGCCAATAAGTATTTTATCAAATCCCCTGTACGTAGAAAGGTAATATTTTCTAAAGATTTGGTTTAAGGGTCAGGGTGGGTTCCGGTAGTGCTGAGGTTAGGGTAACAGTTAGCGCTGCAGCATTTAGTTGGTGCATTTTGTCAGCGTGTGTGTGTGTGTGTGTGTGTGTGTGTGTGTGGTACTGAGATGCGCCTTTAGAGAAAGAGATGTGAAAGAGGCAGAATGAAGATATCAGCTTTATCTCACACTTGAGTGGTCAGGCTATGTGCTGAGAGGGAGCTGATATACTCCACTGAACAACTACTGTGGCAAAGAGACAGCAGCAGAGAGGAAAAGAGCAACACTGGATAAAACCTTGCCTGCTCTTTTGAAGAGTAAAACATTTTACATTTCACACCATCCAGCTTTGGAGTGAAAACAAAGACTTACACAAATGTGCTGCAAGTTATTCAAGCCACGTTTGAATGAATAACAGCAAACTGTGCACAGCTGGTCAGTGGGTGAATAATGAATGAAAAGTGAGGTCAATTTTAACTTGTACTTTTTTTTTTTTTAACACAGCACATGTCAGAGTTCATGATAACTCCTTCATTATGTGTACACCTGAGTCAGAAGGTCACAGTTATACAGCAGAAGCAGGTCACTGAAAACTTTAAAAAACAAGGAGTTTACTGCTATAAAATATAAAGTAATTTTATATTTAAAAGAAAATTGCAGAATCTTGAACACACTAAACTGAATCTTAATTTGAGTCATTCAGCAGCCAAAGAAACTTCTTAATTTCTTTGAAATATTGTGAAATATTTATTGTGAAATATAATCTGTGGCAATTTCTTCCCAACACTGTTGCAGAAGTTCCCACAAATGTGCTGCACTTTGCATTTTCACTTTTTGCCCAGTTCAAACCAAACCAGCTTGATCAGGTTTAAGTCCGGACACTGTGCTCTTCTATTATTCCAGTTTGACAACCAGTGTGTCTTTGTTTCCTGCCTTTTTCTCACCCTTCTGATAACAATATACACCAATACTTCCTGCAGGGCAATATTGTCCTGATACTAGAGGTAGTAACACAGTTTGTTCCTACACTGCTTTTTTTACACCAAGTTTCTAACCTTGGTTTCTTAGCAAGGTTATTTAAGGTGATTCACTTAATTTGAACCTCTTAAATCTCAAATAACCAGAAAAATGGGTCTCTTTTAAAAATGTTAACTGTAGTGTGTATATTTGAAAGTTGCTTTACCTCAGATGCAATGAGCTCCAGACCTCGGCACTGCCTGTCCTTCTCTTTCTGCAGAAGATACCACATCTCAGGGTCGTCCTTAGCCAGGCTGTCCTGGCCTGTCCATGGACGATCTTCATTCACGGTATTGGTGGCAGCATGGGACTGCTGCCCACGTACACTGGCAAGAAGAGGGGCTCTGTGGCGCAGAGGCTGTGGTCAGAGTAAATGGGTTTGGGGTTTGAATAAAAAACAAAAAGGCGGATACAATCAAATGACATTATATCAACTTAGTAATTCATAACACTGTCATTGCACAGAAACTGGTCTCATTAGGACTGACATTAATTGCAGAATTTTGGGGAGATTATACGTATGAATCAAATATAATTAGATGTATTGAGTGTATTTTGTCATATAAAGCATATGAATTATTAGGTCACAGTAACTTTGTGACTTTTTACCATTGAATTCTAATCAGGTCATTCAGTCCAAGTAGACGTTTGTTCCAGATGTAATGAAATTGTTGTTGGCACTTGGACTTCAATAACAACTGTAGGTTTTTTGGTGATTAGCAACATTAAGCAAGATAAATTGTCTTTGTAAAAAATCTGGCTCTGTTAATGGAGGCAAGAATCAATAATATGTGTCCGATGTGAATGTGCTGATAAAGGAAGTTAGGGCTCTTCTCTTAAACTTACAAATAAGAAGAGACAGGTTACACAGAAACAATTTCTCTGCAGAATGTATCAGATCATTTTACATACTTGAAGTGACACCCTGATTTGTCCTACATAAATACGGAGACATTTGAAGTCTCTTGCCCTCCTCTGTTCCTCACATTCTAATATGTAGCCTGGTATAATTAGAAGCTGGCGTGTTTGCATGATATCAATTATCAGCATGGTTGTTCAATTATGCCTCAATCAGCACTTCTACAAACTGAAGGACTGACTTTTACAGCCTCAGTGTACCAAAGGAGGCATATAGAGAACAGATTCAGCACTTCCTGCTTATCTAATCTGGACTGGAACTGGCGAGTTCTTCCTCTGCTGCAATGCCTGATCATGTGAGTGTGCACAGTCCATACAATTTTCACTGGCTCTGTATCTTCTTTTTTTTGGTCCAAGTTTAACATGAATACTGCTTCTCGGGCTAAATCCTGGTTCTTCAATGTGCTATGCCTGGCTTGATATCACATACAGTAGATGCTTTGAATGGATAATAATACGATCTTAAAGCTGCATGCGTGTGCACAAGTCTCCTTTATAAACCCCAATCAACAGGGAAAGCACTGAGTGGAAGAACACTCAGAGGTTAAAAAAATCCCAGACAGGTTGATTGCACTCAGAACAAATTGGCTCTTTCCTGTCATTTAATCAACAATATGATGATGACTCTGTGATGAGATCAATCCCACCACAACCAACCTATAGTTATCATCTGTACAGGTGTGCTGGGGTGTGAGGAACAACCTCTCTTTAATAGCACCATTAAAAAGCAATTAACACAATGCTCAGGACTGACTGAGGACACCCATAAGACAAAAAAAGGGTTGGGAGCTTAATCTTTTGTAGTGGTTTTATTGCACCGTAAATCTAACAACACTAACTATGAGATTTTAAGGCTTAAAAATAATGAATATTGGTCCAAGGCAGAATAATAAATGCTTTGCACAACAACTGAGGTAAACTACTCTGCAGACAAAATGACCAACCGTTAGTTTTTAATTGTTTATATTGTAGTTTACATTGGATTTTACCAGCTATGTACTATATGCTACAACTACATAAACATGTATATGTTTGTAGATTCATTTGTACGAGTGAAACTGGCTTTGCACCTTTGTCAATCTCTTGACATCAGTTTGTGGGCAACATGACATTTGGAACTTCCATTTTATTGTTTTGCAGACTGGCTTACACCAGCAGATGACAAACAAAGTCAAGCATGTTTTATAACCCACTTTATAACTATTCAAGTAAAATAAACAATAGTCTGAGAGAAATTCAGGAGAATCCTTTATTCTCAAGAGCAGCTTGAAGATCTGCTCTTATCTGGTCCCTTGCTGTTTGTCCAATCCTCTCTACTCCGCTTCTTCGTCTGCTCCCGGGGTGGCACAGGGGACACTGGTGACACACCAGGGGAGGCGACAGCCACATTAATGGCTGATTTCTAACTATCTCTACCTTGGCCTTCTGTCACCAGTGGCAGTGGTGATGGTGGGGAAGGGGAGAGGGCCCCCTGGGGGGGTTCTGGCTGAGATGAGGGCCTGGGGAGACAGGTCAGGCTGCCTCTGAGGACACGTTTCTCGCAGAGAAATCACACGGGTCATTAAATCTTGACGGGAACTGTCCTTCGCTGTCTGGGTTTCTGCTGGGACACACCAGGGCCAGGGTAAGCAGCCAAAGAAAAACCCAACACAAGGCAAAGCTGCCATAGTTATAGCGTAACTGACGACTGCAAAACAGACATGGGTGCCTCTCCCTCCTCCTCTGCACCACCACATTCCTCTCTGCTTTCCTTTTCCTGTCCTCCTGTCCCCATCATGTCACCCTACACTGCTAAGCACACTCAGCCAAGTTGCACCCGTGTGGCATTTTTATTAGTTCCTCATGTCAACCGTATCACTTCCATGGTATCCAACAGGACAGCTCTGGGCTTAAACAAACACACAGGTCAGTCCCAGTAGTCTTCCTCGCTGCCTTCCTGCCTCATTTCGCAGCACTGATCATTACAGGAGATTAATTAATAAACACAAGATAAACTGATCCAAGAAGTGTGAGATCCAAGAACAAGCACCAATATGTCACAGAAGAACTATTTTTGGCGACAGATTATGCTGTCGTTTGAAGGTGAACTTGATGAAAACTCTGCTGTGAGAAAAGGGGCAGGATAGGCCACATCAACCTGGGCGTTGAGCACAAAATAATGGGAGAGTAACACATGTGCTGCATCTGTATGACAATGATAAGGTAATTGTCAGCAGTTTGCCTTTCCTGTCAAACATCTGTGGCCAGATGACAATGGCAGAGGAGAAGTAACAGGAAGACAGAAAATCATTTCTCTCATTAATCCTACTTCTGTGTTATTTTTGCCCATTTCCTGATGCAGCTTCCAAAGCAAGCCAATTTTACAGATGACTGCTGTCCATCAGTGGCTCTACCAAACAGCATGGTAACACAAGAAAAACAGAGGGAACTAAAGAGAAGGAAAAAAATAAAAAGGTATGTATGGTCAGAGAGTAGACGTGTCATCGGGGCAACAGCATCCGTCAGTCTGACTAGCAGTTGCTTCTTTCCCTGTCACTGACTAATAGTAGGGCTGTCCGTAACAAATTGCTCCGTGATTCAGTCTAGATGACACCAGACGGAGAGATCTGGATGGGGTGAAGTAGCGTGAAGGGACGAAGGCAGAGTCTGAAGCGACTCCACTCTATTTGGGTCAAAGGGTTGCAAGGGTGACAATCACAGATTTAAGCGATGGAGGTGACAAAGTCAATCTTCAGGAGGTGTGGAAAGTGGAACGACTCAGTTTGGATGTCATTCTTCCATAACGCTTTGTGCATTGAAGAAGATGATGGTGAAAGAGCTCTTCACCGGGCTTTCTGATGCCTTAGTGAGTCAACATACATGCACATGGCCTTTCTTGAACCTGTGCCCTGATGAGGAATACCAATACATACATGTCCTACTTTGATGAGGAATAAACATGCTTTGCTGTGCTGTTAACATGTGTCTATGTTTAAGATGTGCATGAGACTTTCATAGGGTTGGTTAATCGGGCAATAGACTACATATATAGTTTTGCAAGTGTTTCTGTTCTTAATGATGATTTTTTTTACCAACGTAAGGGATGTAAAAAAAACAACACTAAAGATTTTAACCCACCAAAATACATTTAAATCAATCCTAAAACCAAAGTGTCTTTTGTGAAAATGAAAAACAAAGCTTTTACGTCACATCACATATCATTCTATCAGCAGTAAAAGGAGAGAATATCAGTGTATGTTTATTTTCAGTCCACTATAACTTGAGGAAGATGGACAGGGCCGTTAGGCAGGTGTCTCAAACCAGTTGTCCAGTATTGCCTTATTAAAAAGTTAAAAGTAATGAAAAGGTTTATCTCTGTGTATATTTAAATTAGTTTCCTGGGAACATGTTGACTTTCCTGTTTGTTCGGCTGTGACAGGCCTCAACTTGGGTCTTTCAAGTATAATTATTATTATTATTATTTTTATTAAGAGGTAGCAGAAGGCTCATGTGTTAATGTTACATTTTTTCAGGGAAAGGAAAAGAAACTTTTTATAATTTAACTATTTAATATTTTCAAGTGTTCAGCAAAGCAAGGCCTAAAAAGTAAGGTGCATTTAAACAGCATTTCAGTTCTTTAAATGGCCTCTGACCTCCAGTCCATATAAAGTGCAGTAGTTTAAAGACAGTTTCTCATGGGTGTACAGATGTAACTGCACAGCAGTCAGTCTCATGCACCAACTTCAATCCTGTTTCTTTTTCTGTCTTTCCCCCCAATCTGCCAAAAATGTTTTAATACTTTACTTTTACATTGTATTATTGCAAAGCTCTGACACTGATGTAATGTGAAGCACCAAGATGTCTCACCCAGTAGGATTTGTTGGAACTGCAGAAACACTTAGTTCACTCATGGTTGAGCAGTAGTGTTACAGATGCTCTTATCCTCAACAAGTACCGCCGGTGTTGTGCAGAGACACACAAGTTTAATTTAGACTTGTCATCGAGTTAATTAGTTTTAGCCGATTCTAGGACCCACCAGCAGTCAGCACCAGGTAAAAATTAAAAGCTGCATGTTAATGTTTTCTACACTGCATTCATTGCTTATGTTAATGATGTTCGCTGATTTGCATTGGAGCTTGCTAAACCTGTACAGACTGAACTGGAATGTAGGGAACCTAATACCTGCAGCAACTAGCCCTAGCAAACATGCCAGTGATGAACAAGTAAATGTGCCAAATATATAAATATTAAATACAGCAACAGGTCAACTGCTTTAAAATCACAAAAGCAGAGTTTCCCTGGTAACATCTTATCATGGGACCATTCCTAAATCTGTCCTCTAAAGATATTGAGGTCAACTGCAACAAGAAAAAACTGCACTTTGACCTTTGAGGACACCACATGATTTCACCAAAAGGAAGACAGTCTTGTGACTCAACGAAGAGTCACATTTAGCCACTTAACATCAGCAGGAAATGTGTGCTAGCATGTGAACCACTCAGTTTAATAGGAACCATGCAACATACTGATGGTGACTTATAAAAACTAGATCTGAATAGACTCCACATGTCTTTAACACAGACTTGCAGGGTTTCCCTGGGGGGTTTCTTATAGGACTCTTGTAATGTCTCAGAGTGAGATTCATCTCCTGTAGTACATTTTTGTGAGTGATTGCAATGTGTGCCATACAAAAACAACACTGGTAAAATAAGATTTGGAGCGAATGGATTTGAACAGCAATTTTCTCATCCACCCATAACCAACTGACAGTGTATGAGCGTTTGGCTGCTTTCAAAAATCTTTGTACGACTGGACGTCTGTAGACATCTCACTTTTCCAGTGACCAGCTCTACAACCGTATAATGAAGCAACAGCACAAAACACTCAGATCTTTGGCGCTATTGTGAGAAGTTTTAAAAAAGGTCAGATCATTAAGAAACAATAGCAAGCCATCACAGTCTGGGTAATTAAGGGGACTCTAAAATAAATGTAACCTACAATTACTGTCACAGAGAAAAAAAATATATATAACACATTGCACATTGTCCAAGGATAATATCCTGTCATTAAATTACAACTTCATGAAGCTATAACCAACAGATGATCAACAAACAGGTGCACTCTGGATCCAAAACTAATTATGACACTCAAAGCTGGGAAATCTTAGACTTGTACTTTGTGATAAATAAGGCACAACAAAAAACAAGGTATGCTGCTTTACAAAAGTCTAAAGCTCTATGTGTTTTAACTCAAATTTTTCAATGTAAAAACAATTGGCAGCTAGTTGTTTACAGCTAAGTTCAGGTAATACACTGACAGCTGTGTGTATTAGTTCAGTGGACCTTGGAGCTTAGACTCACAGTATGAAGACTGTATATATCTATATTGTATCATAATCAAAAATAAGATTACAATGCCATGGCAGCTACAATGCAGTAATAAATATTCCAGCAGTGAAGAAGCTGCTGACACTGCTGAAACGCTAGATATTTATTCCCTTATATGACAAAAAAATAAAGTCTTATCTGTTGCATAATTGTCTCAAAGTTGAAAGTTAATATTTGCTTGAAGCTTGCACAGTACACTTCAGGGCCCTAATTGCACTTTGAACATTGTTGTGAGCAGTACAACTGATTTTATAGTTTTATAAATATCAGTGTGTGACATTTCTCTCATATCTAAGGACTGATGTCCCTAACCCGAAGTGTATTTAAGTTCAAAAACAGCATATGTAATATTGCAATATGGCAAAGTGCAGTTCTAGTGTTTTCATAACCTAAACGTTGTGAAAAAAGGAAACTACCTTAGTGACATTGTCAGGAACGATTTATGTGGCGATGACTATGGGCAGCGTCAGTGCTGGTAACTGTATTCACCAAGCCAACATGTAAACACATGATGTTAAAATAGCTCTTTTTAGACCAGACTGTGCTCCACCTTTCACAGCAGCACACTTGTGGTGTAGCTATAGCAATGCCAAAATGAAAGGTTTCAGGTGGCATATAATGAAAAGATGCATTCAGATTTTTGCTTACATTTTCCAGGATGGTGTGTGGGTAGCAGCAGTGTCCCCAACTATAGGATTTTATGTATAAATGTATGTTTTGATTAAATGACTCAAAAATGTGATGAATATAGGAACTTAAACTCCTTGTTTTGGAAAAACTGCAATAAGAGTCTGTAAGTCTTTTTTTTATTTTATTCCCTGTGGACTTCTAACGTGTGATCATTGTCTTACCAGATTGTTGTTCTGTATTTTGACATTAATTTATTTTCATTTTCATCTTTCTTTCTTTCTTAGGATCCTCATTAGTACCAGCATACACTATTACTTGTGAAGTCCACCACACACACAGCCATACACATTACAAACAGCCACATAAACAGTAAAAACATAAACAGCTCATCTCATTAAATCGTTCATACAGAAGAGAAACAAAAAGAGTCCTTTTTGGGCAAAACACAAGATTTTAGATCATTTATAACACATTTTCCCTCTTTCTTCATAATGTTAAGAAATAATTCTAAACAAAAATTGATATCATATACTAACTTAATAAAGATGAACTCGTTTGATAAACTTAACAAGTTTTGTGAAGCAGAGCAGAGAGTCTACTGGTGTTGTTGCCCACATGATGAAACTGAGCAGTCGCTGTTGCATCATTACGTGGACTGAGCTGCAGCTCTATAACACGCAGGCACAACTAGCCTGCTAGCTTAGCGGCTAGCTAACAACTGACAAACGTTTCCACTGAGGGAAAAAAACAAGGACACGAGCAGAAACACAACTAGCAGCAAATGTCTGTTAATCATTGTTTAAATGTGACTGAGCTTACTCAAGCAGAAGAGGACAACTGAACCCCCCCCCTCTCTCATGGCTGAAGTGTTGAGTAACACTGACGTTCATCTTGCTAACTGCTCAGAGAGAGCCGCTAGTTCACCGACCTGGGAAACACCGTGAAGGAGACAGTGAGATACAAAACTGTGTTTCTAGCTGGACGTACCCGTGTGAGCCGCCTCAGAGCGAAGGACAGCATGCTGCCGGTTCTGTGTCCAGAGGAAGAAGGAGCGCTGTCTGTCTCAGGAAGGACTGAGTGGATGTCACCGTTGGTCCCTGCCGCAAGGGCTGCTGGGAGTCGTAGGCGGCCGCGAGGACGCAGCCTACAAGATCAGCTATTCGTGCACATGTATCCGTGCAAAGGCTCATGGGGTTTCTGAGCACCTGATGGACAATTATTTTATTTATGTTTATTTCATTCATCGACCAAATAAAACTATGCAAATGCAAACACAAAATCTCAAATCTTGAAAGTAAAGGAGCAGAGAGAAGATATAATTAACAAAGCAAATCATTTAATAAAATGTAAAGGCCCAGTGTGTAAGATTTAGGTGAAAGAGATCTATTGGTAGAAATGTAATATAAAATTATCCTATGACGTTTCCACCAGTATGTTTATTCTAAATTGTAATTGTTGTTTTCTTTATGGGCCCTTTATATTGAAGTACTTTTTATTTACATCAGGAGAGGGTCCTCTCTACAGTAGCCCAGACTGGACAAACTAAAACCTTTGAGTTTTTATTACAACTGAAGGCTACCACAGCTTCTCTTATTTGGAAGAGGAGGGTGAGGTGAGGGGTGCTCAGCTGCAACTTGCAACTTCACCACTAAATGCTATACACACATTAAAATCGCTGCAGGGCAACACAGCCCCTCACATACCTCTCTCAGTTCCTAAGTTACAGCTAGTCTGATAGCCAATAATAATAATCAGTAAAATACAACAATCCAACACATGATAAGGGCTGTGCAATGTGGAAAAAATATATCAGGTTAATAATTTTCAGATCTTCTATCTTCTTCTTCGTTTGGATTATTGATGGGTGGCAAACCATCAAGGTGCATTACCACCATCCACTTTGGGCTTCTTCTTCTTCTTCTTTTTCCCCATTCGGTACTGTATCTCTTATCACCCTTGCTGTTTGATGGCTTCTCCTTCTTCTTCTAGTGGCGGGTGGCAGCCTTCTGTGTTGGAGTGTGAATCAGTTATCTAGGCTATATTAAATTCTTGTCCATTCCTGTCTCCCTCAGATAATGGAGCATGATCCCTATTTTCCAAAAGTAAATATTATTTCCAAGGTCAGTTCTTCCACTCCATGCTTTGAAATTTCCCTTTTTAAGCTTTGGATTCTAAAGTTTTCATATCAGCTAATTTTGATAATTATCACATTATAATTATTTCTTTTAAGTTTAGAGGCTGGCTTTTTCTCTAAAGTAGGTTTGCATAAGCAATATATTGATATATTTACTAAATCTTTGTTACATTGCTATTAATTAGAAATAAATTGCGACAAACATTTACATTGTTTTATTGCCAAGCCATTCATGTTAAGAAAAAAGGATGTGGTCTGAGAACCTAAATTTATTTGTCATAAAACACAGTTAAAGAAAAAAAAAACCTGGATCCATCTCTTGAGCCGCACTAAATTCAATGAGTTCATCCCAGGCACAGGCCCCATCCCTTCAACAGGTTTCGTGTGTGGTCTGTGTGATTTTCTTTACGTGCAATTTTTGTATGATGCTGCTAACAAATAAACCTACAAACAAACACAGCAGTGAAAGCACAACATTCTTGGCAGAGGTAATGAGTGTAGGCAGCTTTCAGTGGTTTTATCATCTTATGGAGATGCCAAATAGAAACTGGTTCAATCAAGATAAATCTGTAATCCCACTGAATTTCCATGTGTTGAGTCATGGTCATAGAAATTCACTAATTTGCTGTTTGAAATGTGATTACTGATTTCAACTGTTTTGCACCAATTTTCACATACGGCCTCGGAACTTCCAATCACTGCTTTTATTACACTCCAGGGTAAACAAACTGTAGGATTTGTAGCACATGATCAAAGTGTCAAGAGACTTGAGCAGCTGAGCTTTGCATTGCTATGGTGTATTTCTTTTTCTTAGTTTATTCTATGTTTTTCTTAAAACTGAGGGAAACATTCCTGGACAAACACACAGGTATACAAAAAGATTGTCAGACTCATCCAGGTAAACACAAACATCACATCACAAAGGCACACACAAGGATCCACAACAACTTGCCTAGTGATTCGCCACCAAACGACCGTAGAGCTTCTGTGGGGAGGAGAACTCCAGAAAATCTGGGTTGCAGGGACTCTCATCAATCTCCGTGCCCGGACTGTCCTCGCCAACTTGTGTAAGATACATGGACCTCCCCGGACCTCCAACTCCATGTAATTGCTCATGAGCATAATAGAGTATTGAGCTTTAATGAGATAAGGATTCAATTAGCATTGACTGTGTGTTACCTAATGAAATTCTGAGCACCATTATTGTCAGATCAGAAGTGTTGCAAGCAAAGACCCAACAACTCCATGCCCGGGGAGAAGGAGATGGGCTGAAGCAAGGTTTCAAGTTGAGTTTCTTTATTTTAATCAACGAGAAGGTGGTGAGTTAATTGAATTAATCAGATATATATTTTTTAGAAATAGTAACACTATCCCTTGAAGCCCATGTAGGGCCACAGCAAGACTTTTTTGACACAAAACCTTTGTGTTACCTCACAAAACATATTGGTAACCTCTCAATACTTTTCTTTTTCTATTTGTGAGCCACATGTAGTAGAGTGTCGCTCAGCCTTTTTCAGTCTGAACCTGTCCAAGCCCAAGAGAAACCAGCCACACCTGACCCAAACCCGACAGGCATTCTGTTTCTTTGTGTCCGAACCCGACCCTAATCCTGATGCTGTTGATGTAACGCTGCACTTAGTTTGTTACCCTGTCCCTGACACACATGGTTATTGCTTGTTTTCCCCAATTACAGACATGTGCAGTGAAAAAAAATCAACCCAGCCAATGTGACAGACAAAACTCGAACATTAATTCCCTTACAAATTTTTGTCCGTACCCTCCCAATAAGCTCCAATTAGGTATCCACACTCTATTATGTGACTCTCTTCTGCTCATCTCCTCCCAATTCAATCCCACAGTATGGATCCGCTTATTGAATTTTCCTTTGAACATTGCATGAGGTAGCCTGATATTGTATTGCTCAATAGGCATTGATACAGACAGACTTGTGTACCTATAATGAAATGAAGATGTTGCATGACGGTATTGAAAAACATATTGCGAGGTAATGCAAAAGTAATCCTTAAAAAAATTCTTGCTGTGACCCTTCATGTGCTCCGTACTGTTCTGCTTTGTCTTTCCATCAGCTCATATTTTCAGCATAAAGAAAACTTAGATAAACTATCTTTCATTAGGTAGCTGAGATTATACTGTATCTGTGGCAGCAGCAATACAGACGTGAATGAAATGTGAGGAAACAAACTAGAGGCTTATGTGCAACTGAAACATTTTTTGATCAGGTGTGCACTACGTACTTCGTTTACATGATCACACAAACGGAAATCCGTCAGTAATATCACTTCCAATAAAACAGTTAATTTTGTTTTCAGTGAGAGTGTGCGTAATTAAAAACCATATCAGATACCTCCCTTGGATTCTATTAGTGTATATACCAACTCAACCCCAAGAGGAGACACATTATTTTCGTCTTAAGAATGTTTCACACTTGGTTTTTCATGTTAGAATTAATTCAATATATTTGAGAAAATTAAAATTACATATCTTCACAGACAGCTCGGGCGTGAATTTCTAATCAGAGCGAAATGTAACTTAATTCAAAATGGTGTCCTCGCTGAGTTTAGATAATGTGAATACGCTGCTCAGCTTGTGCCCTGCAATTGTGCTTCTGGCTCAGACAGAACACAGAATTCACCCAGGGAGAGACAGACAGTTTAAGAGATTTTAATGTGCTTTTTCATACAGTATATTGTATGCATATCCAGCATAGCATTTCTCATACATATAACTCTCTTATATCCAGGTTTTAAAACATAGAGCTGAGAGGATGATTAACAGTCAGTCTACCATAACGTAACGTCTGCCACACAGTGATGGCACAACACAGCCGCCTCAGAGGCTCACTCTGTACTCGGAGGGAATAATACTGATTCCAGCTGTTTTCAACTCGAATTCTCCAACTGCAAAAAGTAATAACACCTAGAAACAAATATCTAAAAACAATAAGTGTGTTGAGTTTGAGTACATTATTTACAGGGAGGAAAAAAAACTAATAAAAACAGAAGTTAACAAATACAAAGTTGGAAAATAATTCAGAGAAATCAGCCATATCCTAACCATCCATAGCTCTGATTATACGTGTTTTAAATCCACAAGTCACGGCAGTTTAGAGGCAAAAAAACTGTCCCCTGCATCTTCACTGTAATCAATATGACTATCATATCCATCATTATCATTATTATCATCATCTTTGTCATTAACATTGTCTCTTTATGCTCCCCTCAGTTCAGTCTCACTTACTTATCCAAAGTAAGGGTGCTCACTTTGGAAGTTGTAGTCCGGACACACTTTTTGAACCATCTTGTAGTCGATGCTAAAGAAAGAGATGAAAATGCAGATGACCTTGAAGGGTTTGGCACAGAGCCAGGCAGCGTGGGATTGGGTGTGCTCTGTGAAGCAGGTCTGAGACGGGTCATACAGGCAGGCTTTGGGCTTCTTGGATCTGTTGGTTTTCTCGTACTCCACCCGACAGTTAAAGGTCTTTGTCTCTTTGGGGTTGAAGGAGGACTGCTGGGTCTCCTGGAGCTGGACGTCTTGCTGGGTGTGAGGGTGCAGCTGCTGAGGCTGGAGGACCTCAAACTCCACCACTTTGGTTGGCGGCACGATACTGACAGAAACATTCCCCAGGCTGGAAGAGTTGTGGCGGAAGTAAACTGTGAACGTTCCGTTGATGTGGTCTACGATCTTCCCCGTCACCAACAAGCTGAACTTCGAGGTCTTAACGTTGAAGTAGAAGTCACCCCAACCGAATATCTTCTTGGTCTTCATGGCTGTCTTTAGTGAGGGCTTGCGTTTAGAGCGGTAGCCTGTCTGGTCCAGGAGCAGGGACTGGTTGCGGTTTGGGTCGAACGGGTTGAAGAAACTGTAA